ATCCTGAATTGTCTTGGGGTCGGTAGGGGGGGGGGGGGGGGGTGTCGGTTTGCTGGTTTTGCTCATAAGCATCACAAAGTTGTGCCTGTATGCATAAGTACTATTTTTCCCAGTGACATCTCAAGCCCCTGTGAGTACAGAGAAAAGCTTTAAAGGTTGCACTGAAGGGATCCACAACGCTGCCTCAAGTGATGCCACAGAATCATAAAGTTGTCCACATAGACAGTGGGTTTATCTAGAAATATTAACCACAAATAATAATCAAAGCCAACATAATGTTGGCTATATGAGAACAGTTTGGTATAATCCAGAAAGTTGCATCACTATAAGCTTTACAATATGTATCTAGAGAAGTTACCATAAATTCCTTTCTGCGTTTCAGAAACTAACAGACCAGATTACGATCTGCAGCCTAACTTTCCTGCAACACAATCGGCAAACACACTAAGCTAGATTCCTCACCTGCAACTGGGATGGGTCTACTTTGTTTGCACAGTGTCACAATTTTTATATGTAATGTATTTTACATTATGTCAAGAATAGAAAGCATTAGAAACATTTAAAGCATTTGCAAGAGGTAAATCAATGCCAGTTAGAACATTGATTTGCCATTTTTGAGAGAGAGAAAAACACAAAACTAGGTATGGGTAGATTCACTAAGCTACACAGGAGATTAAAATCCATTAAAATGAATTACAATTAAGCTTGTAAATACCTTTAAAAAAAACAAATCTATAATAAACAAATGAGCTTCCAACGCCATCATGAATCACAAACCACTGTTTACAGTTTGGGATTACTATAGAAGCACGAGTCTCTCTCAGTTTAGTATACGGACAACTCCTATACATTATTCTGTGCAAAACATACATTTTAAACTGAGTTAACAAAATAAAAACACCATTTATCATATATAAGGCATTTAGTGTACTTGCCCAAATTCCTGCATCAGACAGAGGAAATTAGAACAAGTTTCAAAAATTGCATTAAAAAAAGCCAATACTAATTACTCTTTACAACAAAAGACAAAGAGGATAAATTTACAAATTGCGTGCGTAGATCAGTGGATGACAAAAGTGATACGGGAATGGAGCTTAAAACCAAGCACAGAAAAACAGGTTATTGCCAAATTGTGAGAGAAGTTCTCAGGATACTATATGCTTCACTAAAAATTGATCTAGCTTTCATGCTGGTACTCTTTGTTCAGAATAGCAAAACATACCTGGACACTGAACTTTAAGTACATGTTATAAATGACACAACTGTCCCCATTTTGTTTGCTTAATGCAATGGGAGCTGTCTCATAAGGTACTAAAGGACCTGTGCTCACAAGTAGGGACATATTCTAATCCACTGGTATGTAGTATCCCCTTTTGCCACAAAAAACATCTAAAAGGAAAAGCCTTTCTTCTTCTTGATTTACCAGAGATTAGGGGTGCCAGAAGATAGATGTGGTTTTACTTTTAAAATTCTGTCCTAGATCTAGATGGCCCAAAGAACTTGGGAGCTTACATACTGAAGTTTTGTTTCCAATTCACTCACCCAAAGTGGAAGAACAAAGAAGAATTAAAATAAGCGATTAAATAACCTCAGACAATGAAAGAATAAATTAAGTATTATCCATCCTACACATTCCACCAATCCTGCAATGAGCCTCAGCAGCACGGGGACTAGTTTAAACTGATGAAATTTTTAAAAGAATTAAGTAAATCTATGATCTTTCTTATACATCCTCCAGGAAGGTGCTCCTGGGCCTTGTGGCAAGCTCTTCTTTGAGTTCAGAAAGATCTGAAGTGTAATTGGAAAGAAAAAAAAAATTTATCCCATAATTACACAATTACAGGAACTGGTACTTCAAGGAAAATACCACAAAGCTGGGGGGGGCGGGGGGAGAAGCGATAAAATTCCAAGACAAGCAATGTTGCCAAAATTCCTGCATTATGGACTGTATTTCACAATATTAAATATGCACCGATATCTTAAAATTGGTTTTATTCACTAGGACTCCAGCAACACTAAGCTTCCCACAAGTCCATGTATCTCAGAAAGCTGGCTAGTCTGACTTTACGTATGAGAGCAGAGCATTCTGCTTAGGATGCATACTCTCTTCCCCCGAGACTGGTGGCGCAGTCAGCTTTTGCCAACTACCATTATTTTATCTGTCTCTAGAACTGTAGCCCAAACAAAGCGACAGTCAAGATACTCAAGGCCAAAAGAAATCCGAAAAATAAAATGCAGGAGCGCAAGTAAGATGCCCTCCTTAGAACATCATTGCTCAGCATTGCTCCTTATAAGACGTGGGGATGACTGCTCTGGGCCTTCTTGAGGCAGGCTCAGGCTCTTCCTTAGCCCTGTCCTGGGATGAAGAGGAATTAAGGGTATGAATACCTTTCTGAAGAAGCCAAGCAGAGACCACAGAACCTGTTTGCCTTGGACAAAAGGAACGCCACTGGGCATTTCTAGCTATTTTCTGCAGCTTTATACACCTCCCTGTTATCTTTCAGAGAAACAAGAAAGGGAAGGACATGAGTGTGCCCCTAAGGTCAGCTAGGTTTGATATGAGTTGCACAAAACCCAAGGAAAAATACATGCAATGTACTGCCTTTTAACTTCTACTTTGCTTTAGCAGCACTTTTTTATTTTTATTGCAAGTAGCTATCCCGTAAAGCTTATTGCACTAATTTCTTCTGTATGTCTTGTCCGTTCATATTTTGGAAGACAGAATATTGTTAAGTGTGTGGGAGTCCCTGGGCAGAAAATTCACATAAACGCAGCTGGAAACATGCATAGAGGATTTTGCTTCACAGGCAGTAATTGAAATCAGCTGGTCTCAACGCTGCCACAATACAGATTCATTTTGTGATGGGGTGGGAGTGTGCATAAATCAACATCTGCATTTGGCACTGAGCCTTTCTGTGAATCTCTGTTCAAAAAAGGTACCACTATGTGTCACAGCCTCATACAGCTGTGGTTTTAAAATACCCTTAACCATGGACCTTGCAGATTTCTTGCGCTGCAGCCAAGGGAGGGGCAGAGAAAAGGCTGCCTTGCTTATCTGGCTACTGGACATTGCTTCTGAGCCGGCAGGATAAAAGAAAAACAAGAGGAACGGTCTAAATAGCTTAGGAGGTTAACTATAGGTCAAGCTTTCCATGTACAACCTACTTAAACAGGCCCAAATAAACAAAAAAAAAAGGACAGATCCTACCCTCTGGTGCAGGTATTATGGACTTCTTGATGATATGTGCCCTCATATGGTATAAGCAATCTAGAACAACCATGGTAAATTGATGCCATGGTTTCAGTGATTAATCAAATATAGTTCTAATTATTCACTGCCACAGCTAAGTTTTAAGAATTATCTGTCTTAATAAATATCATCACTTACATTAATCAGAATGTTATTAATACTAATATTTCAAAAGTTATGAAAAACACTGCTGTATCTCTGCTCACAAATACTGGCATTAGGCACTTGCTTATCCATCATCCTAACTTTTAACTTTAATCCAGCTGACAACTTGGAACAATAAATTTATTTGGAATACTGAGTCAAATAAATAGGCCATTACATATTTGATCCTTATCAGTGCCACAAGTGACTTCATTAACCAGCTGAATCTTCCCTGTCCTACATTTTTCACTGCACTCTACAGTTCTGTGCACAATAAATAAAGAAACAGTAGTGAGAAAAATAGGAGGAAGGAAGATTAAGGCTACTCAGCCATGTGATGATGTTCCACGTGGAGAGGGCAGCACAGAAGATGACATGAAAGCAGGAGTCAGAGTTTGGAAAGAATATGAGTATTTTTCCTCAGTAAAAGTCACTGGCTGCCCTGATGTCATGACTCTCACCTGTAAATAATTCCACTCAAATGCAGTCCACTAATAATTTTACCTTGAGTTCCCTTGATACATGCACATCCCACTGTCTTGATTTCCCACTGCAAATCACCTGCACAAACTTCCCTTCTGTACTCCCATCTTCTCTCCTATTAACCAGCTATTAGCGAGAGTCCTTACGCTTCAAGGCACAAACCATTTTCCAAATAAAACAGGTCAGAAAGACTCTTCCTTCAAGGGGCAAATTATTCCATAACTAGCTACTCGGTTCTTTCACCTTTCTCTAACACATTTTGAATAGATCACTGTCAAGAGATAGGATATTTGTTTAGACAGTCTGCTGACCTGAAACAGCATTTTAATTTTATGTTCCCACTTTAGAACTACATCTTCCTAAACATGACACTCCTGTTATGTATAGACAAATGCTTACTATTCCCCTAAGAAAACCCCACTCCAGTCACAGTATAAATGCAATTAATATTAACTAACCTTGTAAAGAATGTGGTTTAGATGTAACCACAAAGTTTTCCTGATGATCACACGGGTGAAAAATTAGTTGTTGCAAAACAGCAGGACATATTGTAGAGAAGCTTGAATTTGATATGTGACTGTTGTTTGGTATCCCATGCAAAGAAAAAATTTCTTCACCAGTCAAGCACTGCAACAAAAAGGGATTTTGTCAACTTAATACATTAATGCAAAACTAAAAAATAAATCATACACTAAGAAATTCAAGAATTACAACATGAAATATCTCAAAATATACATCTACAGAAAAATTTAATATTTTAATATGAAATGTTCTATGCTGCTGAAGTCTCTTATCTAACACTTTCCATTTATTCACATTCACTATTTCCTACAACAATCAATAAGGAAAGTGTTCTTTTTAGAGGGTAAACGAAAGTGATTTGGCTTATTGCTGTACAACAAACACATACCAAGGCTGACTCTCAAGACAAAAAAAAAAAAAAAAGTCAAATGTTTGCCTTCTATACAAGACATCAAGTTCGGGCATAACTCTCCCTGTAGCAAATCTCAGTGTGGTTGCCAAAGTAGAGCACTGGAATCCTTAGCAAAATAAAAACAAATGGTCACTCGCTGCTCTGTTCGGTTTTGCTGGCCTTCAGACTCCACAGTGCTTCTCCAACAATTCAAGATTATTATTTATAAAGCAAATTCCTTCTAGAGATAAGCCAAAGCAACTACAAGTCATTTACTTCAACAGAGCTGCTTCTGTTAATAAATATTTTTCTAATACTTTCCAAAAGGTGAAAGGCATGTACACATCATTTGAATGTGACTATTTCTGATTCAGCTTGGAGGAAGAGAACATGCAGGCCAATTTAAGTGACTTCAGTTAAATTACACCCAGGATGTTTCTGTCCTTCCTCTTTAACGACCCAGTCTAGCAGAGCACTCAAGTACATGCTTGAACTTAAACGTAAATATACATTTTGTTCAGGCCGTGAGGCCCTGAAGACTCAAATATATACAAGCAACATGCATATACTTTCATCTTTCAATGAAATGTTAATGTCAAGGTATCACATGTAAAAGAAATATAGCTTGATAACAGAAAATGTTTCTTTGTTTTAAAGGATGTTGCTCCATTTAATCTCAATGGAAGCTGCGCACAGAGAAATCATCACTGAATATAGAGTCTTTAACAGCCCAATACATGAACCTCTGGAGCTTTCTAAACTGGTTATGTGCCTAATCATCTTATTATTAACTCTGCACTACGGAATAATGCAAAACACATGGCTAGTATGTCCAGTGTGAAACAAAGAGAGGATTAGTTGTGGTCTATAGGAATAGTTCCTCTACGGTGCTTCTCGTATTACTGGCTCATAGAGCCATTTCTGGAAGTCTACAGTGAAGAGTCCTTAGAGAAACAAGCCAAAATGGGAGCTGAGAATTCATAACATAACTACCTCTAAGAGAAATCCTCTTTAACTATCTTGTTCCTAGAAATACAGAACAGATTACTAGTATTTTAAAATACTAATATATTAGTACTAATATTCATTCACAAAAATCCAAATCATGTTGTAGGTAGAAAAACCGATTATGGAGAGAAAATAAATCAGACACAGCATGAATTAGTAAACTTGAGACTTGTAACTCTGGCTACATACAAACAAATAAGCAAGAAATATACCATCAGACAAGACCTCTTTTATATGAAGATGAGAAACAGCATTTTATTTAATTACTATTATTATTTTGATCAGGGACAAACCCAGAAGATAATGATTCATTGTTAGAAGTCATCTCATCCTCTCAGTAAACTCCTACATACATCCAAGAGCTAAAAAGCAAGCTTGCATGAGTTCACTAGCACAATTAAAGGATTAATTAAAAGATTAAATCTATTAGAAGCCTTGGATTGGAGCAACTCATAGTTGGACACTGCAAAACTCTGCATTTATCTTTGGAGGATAAACACATTACAACAGTCACACTGCTGTAAAAACATAAGCTATTTATTTTGTAAGACTGATGGATGATCTCAGCAGAAAGGAAATTCAGCCTCTTGGAACAGGGGACCGAGAATGATGTCCTGGCTCACCAAGGCTACCATCGTGTCTGTCCCCTGCTATTCAGTAAGCCTTGTCACAGCAATTAGGCGAGGGGACTGGCTGTAACGAGACTGTCACCCTGTCTTTAATAAACAATTGCAAAAAAAGGTATGACATAACTGATTATGTCCCTGAACTGTTAAAAAATCATTTTAAAAAAATGCCTTCATCAAAATTGGGGAGGAATTAAATCAGTAGCATTTACACAATTATGAAGTATTCAGACTTAAAAAAAAAAATTAAACCATCAACTGAGTTATTCAAACAGATGTTTACTTTTCTCCTGGTAAGGCTGTCCCAAAAATGATTAACCAATACTGGATTTTTTAATTTTTTTTTTAAGATGGCAAATGAAATAAAGTGATGCCCAGCTATCTAGAATCTCTTTACACCAGTATCTTTATAAATGAAAAGCAGATGCCAGCTCACCACATCCTTTGAAGGAAACGATGGGACAATTGCTCGGACAAAAACAATGCAGAGAGGACCTCTAACTGGAAAATTAACAAAAAATGCTACAGTATCGATGATCTTGTAAATGCTTCAGTCCCTCTTCTGATCTTCTGCCATGTTCTTATCTTTGCTCTACCTTTGTTTTAAGGGTAGCATTCCACATATGAAGTACTATGATACCCAACAGCAACTTCTAGATGTTGCCAGATTAAATACTAGCCTAGCCCATGCCAGGGCTGCGCAGTGGGTCACACCATAGCAACAGCAAGGAAAGAATGCAGTGAACACCTATCTGGCCAGCTCTTTATTTTTTACTTAGCCTGTGCCTGGATAACACAAAAGAGAGACACATGACTACGTCTTCCTCAGCTTACTTGTAACAAATTACAGCATCTAATGCCAATGTGATGATATCTTTTGGCACTCAGCACAGGTAAGAGCTGGATGCTAGGAGACGACCATGCCTTCAATAAGCAGCTCTCCATGAGAAAGAGTTAAACCCGGTGAAGCTGCTTGAATGCACTTGTGTGCTTTAGGGATTTCATACACACCCTGACACGTTCAAGGCAACCGTTCATGCTGGGAGCTGAAAACTGTCCATGAAAGCTGAAATTTTGTGAAGATATTGTAGAAATAAGACACTTCGAGGGTAGAACAACTAAGCCTATTTATCTTCGCACTGGCCAGGCAACATCAGATCATGGTGTTGGATCAAGACCATAAGCCACACTCTGTCAGACCATTCCCTCTTCTTGCAAAAAGCACAAGTTTTAACTAGTGAAAGACCACCAAAAAACAAAAAAAACCCAAATACACATCCCCCCAAAATCAAAGCAGATAGACCAGAACTAGTTAAAATAAAGTTACTGGGTTTTGACTGATCTTGAAGTGAATATTAATTATACCTGATCATGAATATTAATAAAGATTTTAACATAATTTTGTCCAAATGCTTTGTTTGAAAATTAAAATGCATTACATTAAGACACAGTATTTAGGCATAACATCGGGACTGGCATAAATATAGATTTAAAAAAGTCAAAGAAGGAAACTAGAGCATGATTTTAGCACCTCTACTGATTACATCAAGCACAAAACAAAGGTGATGTTACAAGCTTTCTTTCCAAAGCCCATTTACCTTCCATGTACTTTCTGACCAAAACCTTTGAGCACGTAATTCAGTCCTTCAGCACACACGTGTATGGCTATCATACTACAATGAACCCAATGACAGAAGATCAAGTATAGTTTCATGTTTTTATATCTTGCTAATAATGTAAAATACAGAGTGAGTAAACATGCCATCATCCATTATACTGAAATTGCTAATTGTATCCCTATTAGTGGGACTAAACTGTGTTGGAATTCCACAGTAAAACGTGAAAACACAGCAGTGACCAATATTTGAGTTTGCTCAGTTACTACTTATGTCTCTGATAGGAAAACTTAGTTTATACATTAAGAAAAAGTGATAACAGAAAAATTGAAGAGAAATGAAAATATAAACACAAAATAAAGAAAATTATAGAAGTGCATGATGAAAGAAAAAAAAAGAGACCAGAAGCATAAGGAATTGGAGACAGTTCAATCAAAAATTACAAAGTACTGGTTTTGTCTTTTACAGGGAAAAAATTAGCTTCTTCATAGACATCATAGGAGATAAGTTATCATAAATGCCTATACAAGTATACATTCAAATATCATCATGAACAAATTAAATAATTTTTTCTTCTCCCTTATCTTTTCAAGTCAACCTGGTATTCAAAAGAAAACAGAAATCAAGCATCCATCTTCTGGCTTACACATCCAGACTCCCTCAATCTTTAAGAAAGTGGATCAGCTTCTGGTGGATCTTCTCTTGTGAGATTAAAAGGCTTACCAAAATTGTTATGAATGAAACATTAAAACTAAACACAAATACTGGGATAAAACTAAACAGAGACTGCTCCTTCCTGCCAGTTTTTGAAGTGCTGTATCACCTGTCCATTACAGATCAGGTCTCCACTAAAAATTACTTCAGGCTTGGATGAGGGTCTCTGATAGAGCAGAGGTCTGTTATCTTGATTGGAAGAAAGGCCTGGGAGCCATCCCACCAGCTCTGGACACTGAAGTTAAGAACTGAGAGCCTAAGATAAACCTTGTTTCTTCCTACAGTCAGATATTTATGCAGCCTGAAGGGTCTCAGCCTACCTGAGAAAGGCCTGAATCACTCTCTAGGGATGTTTACTTTCCTCTGTAGAAAATCGGTAGAGCGTAGGCCTCTGACACCTTCCAACACACAAAGTTAGATGAGGCCACTTTACGTCTTCTGTTGTAACCAGTAGATACTCTAAATTATAAACTTGTAAGCACAAAGAGTCACAGTGTTTGAAAATGACCACGTATGATTTACTTGGTATGAGTACGCATTTGAACACTCCACCTGCCCAAAGTCATTGATATACCTAACATCTATGAGGAATCGAAAGCCGAGAGGTAAAATGTACTTGCTTAAACAGTACTAGCTGATGGTGTGACTGTAAGACCAACTTTAAGAAAGAATGTAAGTAACTCAGCAAAAAAGTATACACATTTCAGTATGGTACCCTAGATATTATTCAAAATGGACACAAGTAGAACA